TGAGATTGTAGTCCATCACGAGAGTGAGCTTGACGTGGTGGTAATTTGGCACAAACTTCCTAAATTTCAGGCATTTCTAGATGACATGGTCTCACATATCAGGCACAGCGGACCCGAAAGCCCAACTGAAACCTCATTTTAAATCCACTAATTACATTCCAGGTGCATCACAACAGAAAGAGTTCGATGTCTTACAGTTTATTTTCTTTCTAAAGCAGCCACAGCCTAAGTAGAGAAGCCTGCCAGGAAGAAGTCAACTCTTTGCAGTGGTCTGATTACAGACCTATAGCTCTATAATCAGCAAATATAATGCTCCCCTCTTATTAGAGAGCTCTGGCTCTGACTCAGCAGAGCGTGTGTTGGACCTCTGTGAAAAGAAATCACTGCTTCCACACAGAGAGCAAGGGTCCTTTTCTGCAGCATACTGGCAGGAAACATGTTTTCTACGCTAATATTTAGAGAAAACATATGTTAAGGCTTTTGTTTTGATGCATCTGGAATGCATTTAGTTCAGTTGGGCTTTAAAATTAGCCTGGGGCTTCTGTACTGTAAACCTATAAAAATAGCACAACTGGTTAGAAGTCCTTTCCTTGTAGAGTTGCATTAGAGCGAATCTGCCCTTGTGGCATTACATTACAGGATATCTGCCTATTGCACCACGTGAATTGCATAGCACTGCCAGGAAAAAGAGAGGCTGGGCCATAGGAAAGGTAATTAGACATGCCTTGATTTTTTACTGAGCTGGTTAGGTCACTCGTACACCTCGGGAGGCTTAGGGTATGTGTTGGCAGGCTTTGTGCTTATGTCTAAGGCATCAGTTTAAGAGACTTCTAAGATCAATTAGAATTCATTGACAGGTGCATTTGACCTAAAGTTGACCTTCTTATGAGCTACAGTTGACCTGCTTTAGAGCCCATTCACATTGCGCGTTTAATCCCGCGATTTCTTCCGCGATATCGTGCATATTTGCCGCGCGATATCGCGAGAAGTTGCTTGTCCAATGATTTTCTATGGAGCTTGCCTGTCGCTCATCCCTTGTATATGACCCTTTTTCTCGCGGATGTCGCGCGATTTTTTCTTTTTTTTGTATGCAGCCCGACGGTGAAGGTGGCGCGATCGTCGCTGGAACGTCACCCGAACAGTCGCGCTATCCCGGCCGTGCGGAAATCTGCTCATGGTAAGTGTAACTCAGTGTGAATGGGGCCTAAAGAGGACATTGCATTCTCAAAGGCATAGGAATAAACAAATATCATTCATCGAACCTGATTAACATCATGATTTCGGCTGGTTTGTTTTATGCTTGCATGATGTCTTCATCTGGTCCAGTGGAGCATATATACTATGCCTGACAAATGGCTTTTACTGTACGTTAAAGTCAGTGCGTTGTTTTTGATTTTCCCACACCCTATAGTTATATAGAATACATGTCAATATATAGAATTTTTCATGTACATCAACAAGAAGATTGAATTATAGGGGAAATGTAATGACTATAATTATGTACAACTTTGTAAGTTCCATGTTGAAGTGCTCATACTTTACATAACGTACATAAAGTGTTACAGCATTTTCTTTGGAATATTCTTGCTTTGAGCTTCTAAATTGTTTTTTGCTTTGGCAATGAAATAAGCAAATGCACGTTTTACTCATTGTCAACAACCATTCCGTATGTGCATTAGAGTGTTGGTATTGATGAAGCACTTGGAAAAAATTGTCAGTTTTGGGTTTGATTTTGAGCAGCAGAAAGCAAGTCTCAGATTTCTCCTGCTTTGGACTAAAGCACAAAATACCAAACATGTTCATCAGCCAACATTGACTGTAGAATGGGCGTGGTCTAAGAATTGAAAGAATAGATTTGCTCTCCTTTCAGCCACATTCAATGGAATCTTGGTAAAATCGAAATAAGTCATGGCTCTGTTGTCCTTCCCATTACAAAGGTGAGTAAAAAAAACATTTGGAATATCCAATTGGTGTTCAGTTTATTAGAAGACAAATCCATGTGATCCAAGTCAATTCAAATTCTGATTGGCTCTCTTCGTTGACTTACGCCCCTTTCACACTGGTGTCCGTCCAATCCAATCAGCCAGGTCCGGAAAAACGAATGGAACAGAGCTCTGCTTCACTGGACCAGATCGGGGATAATCTGATGTAAACAGACAACTGTCCATTTACATCAGATTCCCCATAGATTGATAGATTCCCCATAGATTGTTGGGGGAAAAAACAGTACGGACGCGGATGTCACAGCGGTGACATCCGATCCGTACTGCTCCTATCAGGAGGGGATCAACCCACGTGAAAGGGGCCATACATTTACATTTGGATCTCCATCTGCTTACATCCAGTTTGTTTTTTTTAAAGAAAGAAAGCTTCTCCCTATCAGTAAAGGTTGCTGTATTGCTGGCAGAAGGTGTCCCACAGACCTGGTCTGAAATGGACTAAATTAACCCCTTCATGACTGAGCTTGTTTTTAGTTTTTGTTCGTTAATGACCGACACACTTTTTAAATTTTTGCTGTGTGATTCTTCCACAGCAGTAATAAGCTTGCTTACTAAGTGCACCCACACATATTATATATTGTTTTAAAAAGGACAGATAGGGCTATATAATTATATCACATAAGTGATATGCCTCACTTAGGACAAATAAAATATAAAAAAATGAGGAAAAAACGTAAAGTAAACACTTTTCCCCCAATTTTAATTTTTTTAAATAAAATAAATTCATTGATTTGTCCTTTATTTGGAAACACCTCACATCCCTAGGATTTCAGAACATTTTCTGTATTTCTCAGCCTTAAACTAAAAGCTAACATTTTAATTTTTTTTTCTCTAAAAGCTAATAGTGGTCACCTGGCATACAATGTCACTGTCGCTAAGTGTCACACTTAGTGACAGCAACATACTTTGAACAGCGCTGTCATGAGGTGGATAAGAAAAATGTTTACCCCTTAGGGTGAAAAACAAATCTACATCTCAGCAGTGGATTTTAATTGAAAGGGGTTAATTTTTATAACAATGATAATATAAAAATATATTTATATACATTATTTTTATTTGTTAAATGTATTTTTTTAACGTTTATTTTGAATTATATCAAGCATACATTGTGAATTGATCTCACTATGACTGCTTGATAATTTAAGTAATGCATTTTTGGGCTGCTCCAAACTTAGGAACAGTCAATAATAACCTTTGTGACACTGATCCTAACAGCCTTAGGCCCATTTCACAAGTGCACGGATCCTCTCGTGATTGGAGCGGTACGGATCGGTACCGCTGTGACATCTGTGTCCATACAGTTTTTTGACTGGGCCCCATGTCTTTCTATGGGGAATCAGATGTAAATGGACATCTGTCTGTTTACATCTGATTACCCTCAATATGGCACAATCAGGTCCATCGAAACGGAACACTGTCACTTTGTTTTTCCAGACTTGGCCAGAGTCGTAGGTAACGGACACCAATCTGTTTACACACGGCTGACCATAGACTAGCATTGGGCATCCAATCGAGTCCGCCTGGAAAGGCGGACTCGATTGGACCGCCCGTGTGGAGTAGTTTTATCATTTTCACTCGTGGACATTTAATTCTCTTGCTGTAGTAAAACTGTGCAGTCTTCTACTTTAAGGCAGATTACTACTTGTTATAATATTTTTATACTCTGTATGGATCTCTTTATCCAGTTTATAGAATTGTATCATCCATTACATGGAATGATTCTTCTCTTTATTATTAAGAGTGTGAAATTAACCTGTTTTTGGGCAAAAATGCTGTTTACCATAAAGGTTTATGACAACCTCTTTATTCTCCTTAAAGAAAAAGGTTAATCAGTAGCACTTCCGTGGAACTCTAATCAGACGATAACTAGATGTTCTTTTATCCAAGTCATTACTTTTGAAGTGGCTTTTTACACTAACGTCTGCAGTCCCTAGTGGATGTCTTCTTCTTTATGTATAACAGACTGTACAATTACTACCGAAAGCCAAAGTATCAGTAAAGTTATTCAGTATGGAACTGAATAACTTTAATGAGAGAGTGTGGTTTTAGACACCTAATGGTTCTATTTAAGACATGGAAAATATAACATTTGGAGTAATGAAAATGTCATACAGACAATTGAGGTCTTGAATGAGCCTGGCTTTGGAGAAGCATTGAAAAACACTTGTATGTGTAGGTAAATCTAGTGCCTGTATAAAATCCGCTGAACAGCTACAGTACAGCTCACCCATAGGAGTTAATGGGGTTGCAGTTCATGCGCACACTATGAAGAGGAGCCGGCGTGGGCATCTTTGCTGGAAAGGCTGAGCAGTGTTGGTCAGTGCCACACAGTTCTGATTGTTGGAATGAGGAGCAAGGTAAGTATTTAGTAGGCTGTACTAAGGGGTGGTAGGCTGGCTGACATCCACTGGCTGACATAGCAGCCAGTGGATGAAACCACAGTGCCAAGTTGGGAATGAGGGGGGGCACTATCTGACACACCTGAAAGTTTTGTATAGCAGCGGCACTGATAGTTCTGCACAAAATTGAACATTTTACCCTCCTTTCATTGGAAAGGTAAGTATAAAACATGTTCTCTTACAGCAGGCTGCTGGTTTTCTTTTTAAATTGAAGTTAGATTGTCTATTTTACAGTGCTGCCAAGTGGATATGAGGCAAAGAGTATAGGTATAAAAAACACTGTTTTTGTACCATTGAATCAATGTTAAATGCTACAAAGTATTTAGAGCTGTACTTGCTGCCCAAATTGGAGAATGTTGAAATATGAAATAGTTAATATGTACTTGACTAAAAAAACAAACATGTTTTACATTTTATTTTTAAAATATGGACTATAGTAAACTAAAGAAAATATGTAAAAAACCACAAAACATTCCATTCAAAGAAAAAAAACACTGAAGTATAAAGATATATGCTATACCATTACATAGTACATTATGTTGCATACACCATAGTTCCATGCGCATGTACTCACTGACATGGTTTTTTTTTTTCATTTAAGGCAAATATGTATACCAGCCTATGACTCCAGTGGAGCTGCTTCCAAGCACACAAATCCCAGTGGAGCCACAAGAACAGACCGACACAATCCAGATCTCTGTCTCGCTGGCCGAGCAGTTCCTCAAGGCAGCTTCTTCCTTTCAACCTCCATTCATTCCTGAATCTCCACGCTACTGTACAATTTCTGACCTCTTTCTGGATAATTATCAGGTAAAGTGCATCAATGGAAAAATGTGCTATGTGCAGCGCCAACTGCCACCTCCACATCCTGCACAGCCATGTGTCAGGTCAAGGCCTGAAAGAGAGTTTCTGCAAGAAGTTTACACACCAAAAGACACCACAGAAGGACCAAAAATAGATCATTGCTCTTCTCCTTCCAACTCTGAGGATTCTGGGATCAATGCAGTGGGCGTCCCCTACTTAGAGTCATGTGACGAGGACACAGAAGAAGGGGCAGAACTCAGCTCAGAAGAGGACTGCAGCCCAGATGGTTGTTGGGGTCAGGAGCATTCTCCATTGGTGTCTCCTTCCAAGACTGATTTGGAGATCATAGAAACTATAGAGACTACAGTCTAACTTATATGGAAGGATGCCAGAGGTCAATTGTTAAGCACATAGGCAGTGGATGGCTGTCAAGGGACAGAGCAATACAGTCATATTGCACATTTACCTACAAATATCCTTAAGTCTCCAAGAATGTGTAATCAGTTTATGGGCCAGCTATCCATTGTACCCCCGGTAATTGAAAGTTTAATAATGGCTAGAGCCAGTCAGCAGTCTTTAAGTCTCCTGCAAAAGAATCAAGTTTTATATTCATTAAGGCATATTCCATTGTGTGTATCCAGTTTCCAAACTGGTTTGCGTGTTCAAAAGATGCAATCGAGAAAGAAATATAAAAAAATGATTAGACAACTTTCCATATATCATGAAATTCCTATAGAAATATGGGTTGACTATGGTTAATGTCTACGGAGAAGCTAAAGAAAAATTCACAGTATGTAACCAACAGAGCCATCATATTATGTATATGTGCTGGTCACAACATGGGGCCTTTTTATAGAATATGCTGCAATGAATATAAAAAACAGTAATGTATAGCATTGTTGTGTTAATCAGCTGTCTGGTGAGCTTCGTTTGATGGAAGTATCACTGTTAGTATTTGATGTCTCACATTCCTCAACTATCAGTCAGCAGAACAATTTAAAAATATGAACTGTATGGTCCAATACTCAGTATTCCTAGTCTGAGGCCTAGAAGGCACAGCTGTGTACATACAAAACATGTCACTAGACTTTCACAGAAACTATGTTGAAATCACAAGTTTAAGGCATTAGTGAACCTAATGTATTTGTATTCTCCTCAGCAAGCCTTACTTGAAGCCTGTGCTGTGGTTTGTGTTTTCTTTGGTTGCCATAAGCATGTTGCTTACAATTGAGAGGCTCATAGCTCTTTGAGAATCTCCCTGATTTTCATTGTTGAGAAGCTGATGCTGCTGTAAACATCTCCCTGACTCAGTGAACGTCTGGTGCTATGGGCAGCTCTTAAAGAGACATTTATAGTAAGATGGTGTGAGTTCAGGATGCTATCAGAAACCACATTATCACCCTTACCCGTATTCCTATTCCACTGATAGTTTATCATTTATTTAACATGATGAAGAAGTTCACGGTAAAATGCCCTGTTGCTGCTATTACTGTTTGTGGTGCTGAAATATTACATAAGTAAAAAGCTTTTTCCACGGCAGAGGGGCTATAGCCTTACTGATCATTTCCCTCCAAAAACAAAAGATAGAGTAAATATAATGGAATCATTATAATTTTTGGACATATGGTAATAGCATATTTTCTACAGTGACCTTGCAGTACAGCAGTATATACCTTATTGGCTCACTTGGAGCCAACTGTATAATATATGGCTTGTCTCTTAAGTCATGAAAATGCCACATTTTTAAATTTCAATATGTTGGCTGTTTAAATAATCTTCTGGCCTATTATAAAAATAACTCAACTGCATTTATTTATCCTGTTGACACGGGTGTTGATAACCCACTTATAACTGAATTGTCTCACATCTCAATCCTGTCCGGATAAATGGACTTGACACCTACTCTCTCTCTTGCTCTTTTCATCCTTATTCTGCAATTATTGAATGGATGAGCGCAAGCAGAGTCAATTACGATGCAGTTAGGTTATACTGACCTTTAAGGCAGCTCATCTTCAAAGAGAAATAGCAAACCATGGGTGGTCGCATCATAATTTAGTGAGGAGCACGTGAAATAAACCTTTCCAATGACATATATGAGCTGTGGATGGTTACATATTCTCCATTTATTACTGACTATAGTGCAGAATGCCCGCAGTGCTAGTATTAATATTTAACAGCATTAGTAAGTCTTAAAAAATGTTTGTTTTGGAGTTCAGGTGAAATAACTGTGGGCGATGCTGTCCAGGACTGATAAGGATTTTTGCTGATCTTTGGAACTAGTTTTAGTGCATATTGTAATAGGGTATTGTTACTGTGATTTGGTCACACTGTGAGCAGTATAGTGTGACAAGAAGTGTATTATACTAATAGCCTATTTTATATTAGCAGGAAGGTCCAAGTAGTTAAGACATACCTGTCTATTAATCGCTTCGGTAACATAAACTGAACTCATCCCGGACTTAGGGGACAGGCTGTTTACTGCAGTACATTAAAATTATTATAATTTTACCACAATTTTGGCTTCTTCTGCACTTTGACTACCAGAAATTGGGGGTCTGTAAAAATGTTGCTGCATTTTACATAAATACAAGAAAGAAACTACCAACCGTGACAAGTTTGCTGGAAAGCAGAGAGCCGGAACTGACTGCAAACAAACAGGAAAATGATTTTGTAAATTACTATACAATGTTTTGGAGCTTACACAGGTCTAAGGACCAGCCCCCATCTCCTTGTGACAGCTCATGTCCCTGGCAATTTGCAGTGTGGGAAACATGGCAGAGTTACAGTATGTGCTCCTCTATACTCTGAAGTGACAAGTTTTTCTCAGGGTTCTAGCAGATGAAAGGTGTAATGGGGAAGCACAGGAAGTAAGCACATGCCTCCATACCTGCTATCTAAGATATCTTGTTACTTTGGATGGGCAAAGTTCATGTTTACTCCAAGGTAAGCATCACCATAGCTCACCAGATCATCTCATGCCTTTGGGCGCCAGCAGATTACAAACCACTTTATTAAGCCTAGGCATAGGTTAATGTCTAGCCAGACATTAGGTTACTGTCAGCTTTGCCTGCATGTTGGAACTGCCATATAATCTTTGTTTTTACTGTTTATAACATAGAAATGTGCCCTTATATCCCTTGTACAAGCATATTTATTGCACTAAGTAGACCTGGTGACTGCACATTCTTGATTGTACAGTAATATTTTGGGTGAAAACATTCAATTCAATCAACATTTTTTAAATTGTCCTGAAATCTGTCACCCGGGGTTGTCATCTGGGGTCTGAAAGTGCTATAGACACCACAGTCATGATTTGAGTCTAACAAATTTAGCATTATCTGGTAACAATTAGGGATGAGCAAGTCTGCCTAGGTTCGATTAGCTGGGGATTCAGTGTATCCTGCCTAAAATTTGGCAAACCTTAACATGTTTTTTCAAGTAGTAATAGGCCAGCTTTGACCAGCAGATAGAAATTGTCCAGTAGTTCCTTGAGGCTGTTCCTGTTCTTGCTAATGCAAAACTGTCTTGCCACTGGCCAAAATCAAACTCTCAGTAAAAATTAAGAGACAGCAGATGTACACCAGTGTAAAATTGTCCAGCAGCAGAACATTTTAATGAAGGAAAATTGGCCAAGATGTAATAGACACTATACTATAAGAATTAAGAGACTGCAGATTACACAACAGTGTACTTTACTACAAGAATGAAGATACTGCATAGAATACAGCGGTGTAAAATTGGCCAGTAGCAGAGCAGTTTTAATCAGGGATATTAGGTTGAAATGCACTATAGACAAAGAGCACAGGCAGGTGTTTTCTGTTTTACTACAGGACAAGGCTAGGCCCAAATGTTCTAAAGACAAAAGGCACAAGCAGGGGTTTCACTACAAAAATTAAGACACTTTATAGGATACAGCAGTGTAAAATTGTTTAGTAGCAGGACAATTTTAATCGGGCATAATAGGCATAACCATTGTATGCCAAAACATTTATTTTTACTATGGGGATAGGAGGTGGGTTGAATATATATGATATAATGTGAGGTGGTTTAGATGCACACTGTTGTTGCACTTAGTTATATTTTTCTTTCAAACAGTGCAGCTGCTTGCTACAAACAAAAAGCAGCTCCAAGAACAGATGGTCAGTAACAAGTTAATGCTGCGCTTTGAGCTACGTGAACCTAAAAAAGACCCTATCAATGTAAAATAAACATCAAGTTACGCCTAAAAAAAATGGAAACCCCAAAATACCACCCCTGAAACAAAAGGCTCCTTTTTTAAGGGAAGCTTTGCTGCCACAAAGGGCATTTTAACCTAAGGCCCTATCAACAGTGTTCAGTAATGGCTTTAATAACCTGTTCTCTAGAAAAGTACATTATTAGGACAGCTTCAGTTCCTTAAAGCTGAACTTTAGGCACATTGCTAATTAGCTACAAAGGATATAAATGTGTGCACCAAATGTCTTTGCAAACACAGTTATAATCTTGTTAAAGTAGCAGTGACATCATAAATATGCAGCACATAGCCTTTGCAGAGAGCAGATCTGTGAGAGGGACCTAGTACGCCCATACGCTACAGGCTACACATGCATCCTATATCTGGACAATATTTGCTTTTCCTGGATTTGAGCTTTGACATTGAGCAATGTATTTGTTGTCCTCCTTCACATTCCAAAACTTTAAAAACCTTAGCTGAGTGTAGAAAAAAATATAAAGTTACCCTGATCCACCCATCCATATTGCAAACCCACATCCATTCTTGGTAGGCATGTCCTGTTCCATTTACAAGATTTTGAATGTCCCACCTAACATAGAATGCGTAGTTTGATTAGAGCTGTAAACTGAACTTGAAGGTCTTCCTTGTCCACATAATTCCAATCCTATCATTTAATGTTTTACAAGTAAAGGACCTGTAAACGCAAAACGTCCTCCTGTAAAGCGTTTAAACATATAGTAGAAGCTTACTTCCAGCCAGGAAAGAAAACCATTTTCCCGTCCATCACATCTGATCATTTCTAGTGTTTACCATGGCTGTCCTCATCTACCACAGTATATAGTCTGTGTATCATCTTATTCTAAACACTAAGAAAGGCATCTCATTTATTTACGACAGAATCTTAGGAAACGTATGTTACATTTCCAAGCACTTTGGTATTTGAAAGAACAGTCGCCTTCTTCTCCTTTGTGTCTTTTCTAATCGCTGGTTGCAGCTGGTAACATTTTTTGCAACAAGTTTTCCCCGTGGACAGCCTTAAGCTGGTTAGAGAAATACTTTCCTGTATACTTTCAAAGTCAGTACAGCAGGTTTATCTCAGCGGGCTCCAAGAAATAATTATGCCAGTGTGGACTTATTTTTCATAGCATCTCTTTTTACTGACTGAAGGTTAAACCGTGCTGTGTTTTCCGCCTCTGAAAAGCTCAGTGTGGGAGCTGCAGATGTAAGGCATGATTCCTGTACTCAGCATACTTTGTCTTGAAGATTGTTTTTCACCTGTGTGCCATTCTATTTTTGGCTGGATTTAGAGTGTAAATTATGGAAAGTGTTTCTGCCCATTGTGACAGCATTTTGGAGGCATGGTAGCCAGTTGAGGAATGTAAGGTGTATTTTTGCCATTAGAAGGGAAAGGTTTGGAACAATCAGTAACTGCAGAATCAAAGACATCA